TTGTTGTTGTTAAGTACTGTCTTAACGATCCTATGTGTAACAGCTCTGAACTCTGCTCTGTCCTGAGCCAACCTCATCGTCTCTGACACACTCACCCCCATTACCCCAGTCACTATCTCATCCAGGGTCTTCTCATCTTTTTTTAATGAGAGAAGCATTATTACCATACCATACTAAGTGACCATCTACATAAATGTGGTAGTTATTATTCTTTTTAATTACAATAAGAAAATAAAACACAATCCTATAAATGATTATGTGGGAGAAGGGGGTAAGATCAGATTTTCTTAATGCTAAAAAGAAGGCAGAATATTCCAAGTACCAGAGATGACTCACCAGCATAATAAAATAATCCACTGTCTTGAGAGGTGCTCTTGTGGAGTAGACGGTAGGGAGTTGCACAGCTAATCCAAAGGCAGGATTAACCCACCAGCAGCTCTGTGAGAGAGAAAGCTGGGCAATCTCCTCCCATGTGATTAACAGGCTCTCAAAAACCCACTGGAGGGTCAGCTATGAGTCAGTATTGACCTGACAGCAATGAAATGAGAGTATCCTGATAAAAACATAAACTACTGTAACTATACATTATTCTTCATCTTTCACTTCCTTTATTGGTATTCCTCCAAGTCCAATTACTAAGACCTTCACAGCTGATTTGCCTGACTTATCATTCTCTTTTCCCATTCACCTAGGCTGTGAGAAGGGGAATATGAAAAAAAATGGTACAAGTACACGAAGAAGGGAGCTCTGGTGGTCTACTGGCAAAAAGTTGCACTGCAATCCTGAAGGCATGCAGTTTGAAACCACCAGCTGTTCCACTAGAGAAGGGTGGGCAATCTCCTCCTCTCCTCCTGTGCCAGTTGGATGTGACTCAACCACACACAACAGGGGTGTGGGGAAATGAAGTAAGAAAAAAAAAGTGTAGGAAGAAGGGCCCAAATGGCTATCAATCCTGGGGTCACTTTGGTGTCACCTCTTCTAACAATGTCAGAAGTGGGATCTACTCACATTCTCCTAGTGATACTACTGCCAAGAGGGATTATGATAGTGAAATTGTTTATTGGATTATATATACAAATTACTGCCAATTGAGGACGATTTATCAACAATCTGCGTTATGTGGATGACACAACCCTGCTTGGTGAAACTGAAGAACACCTGAAGCACCTGCTGCAGAGTGTCAAGGACTGCAGCCTACAATATGGATTGAGGCTCAATGTCAAGAAGACAAAGATTCTCACCACTGGAC